TAAGCAGAATCGTAAGAATCGTAACGTGTTCTCGTAAAACTTGTAAAAACTTATGATTAATATTCTCTAATTTTAAGCGTATATATTGTAAGATGTACGATTATTCATAAATATCTATGATTTTTTGTAAATTTTATGGCTAGTAAGAAGTTGTCTGTAAAAATATTGTATAATGGTATAAGCACTTAAAAATGTTTACAAGTCTTACAGGAATATATTACGAGTCTTACGATTCTGCTTAGAATTTAGGCATTATTCTTGAAAATTACCTTGTAGCTAGATTACATCGACCGAGATTAAATCAATATTTACTCACAATATCAGTTCCCAGCCAACAATAAGACTATTTTTTTTCAGAAATTATACGAATAAATCATGGGCGATCTGATAAAGCCAATGACGTCTATACATAAAAAAAACGTCTCGGTAAATAAAACGATCAATAACTTTTCTTTTTATTAAATTTTTATTATTATCGAATTATGGCAGACTGTTTACATTGACGGTAGCGTAGACGTCACAGAAAGAATTGGAATGGGAGTATATAGCGCTCGAGGAGCGAAGCGCTATCTGGCGTATGAATCAGCGTCGACAATTAACAATCATTGCGCGCACTTAGCCGCGAGCTAGTGCGGATAAGTCACGTTGCGCTCTCTCTCTCTCTCTCTCTCTATACAGAATTTATTATTATGACGAAGACTACCATCTCGTGCGTATGTGCGAGTTACGCGTGCCCGCGCGCACCGTTCTCCGCACGCGGAATATCGGCGAGCCAATAACCATTAACCACGCACGCACACCGGCGCGCGCCACCTTGCACTTTTGCAATAAATAAAAATCAACCGCAATTAATCGGCGTGAGATATGCACGCGGGAGAGACCTTGGATGCCACGAAAGAAAAACCGCGCTACTTCTCCGCGACCGCTGATTTTTTTTTTTCGTTCGCCCCGTTATTACGAAGCGAGCGCGCTGCCCGTGCACTCTCCCGCCGAATTCCCGCCATTTCGAGTGAGACTCCTCGCGGGTCCGTTCACCAAACAAGCGGCCGCTGTTTTCTCCTTTCCTTTCTTTTTTTTTTTTTTCGTCTTTCTCGCTTCGTCTCCTTTCCATTTTTCGTCGGAATATATGGTTGGACGTGTATACAGATTGAAATATTCGGTCGACTCATTCCTGAGAAATAGCGACTGTCTCTCTCACTAAGAAGTGCCTCCATAGTGATCTTCGAAAATTCAAGTTCCCTTTCACTTCGCACCTTCAGATGCGTCACCGTGAGTTTCGACAATAATCAAGATGTAGCAGAAAGAGAAAAAGGCAACCTTGAAGAGATCTCATCATATGTACAATTCACTTGCGTTTTCGAATGGTTTTTTTCTTCCGCGGTATCGATGAATTGACGTAATCAAAGATAGTTCTGTTACATTTGTAAACTTTAAATATTAGTCGGACTCTCGAAGTTAAAAACTATAATAAAGTATATCGGGCAATGAGAGCATCAACACAGCGCGGAAATTGGTGCGCAATATAATATAATTATATCTAATAATGTTTACATAATATGTAAATGTACAATTATTGTCGGTACTACTTTATTTGAACGTTTCGGTTTTCTTCAAACCATCTTCAGCAAATTCGTAGATGTCTTGACAAAATATTGTCGATGTGAAACTGAGGATGAACATATCCCTACTGTCTGATTGGGAGTTGCCGAAATTTGTCTCTTCGTTGTTAAGTCAAGTGACTAACCTTCGTCTCCATAAATCACAATTTGTTATTCCAAATGTAATAAGTCAAAACATAAAATGGAACGATGACAAGAAATAAAACTTAGTTTTACATTGAGTATACGATATAAAATTATAACATGTGTTATCCAGATGGAAGTTAGTCTGTTAAATTTACATGACTTTTTTTTAATTAGAAAATATATCTGTTGTTGCTATTGCTATATTTGCTCCATAACAATACTTTATCTCGCTCTTCTTCAAGCGACGCAATAAATAATTGATAATAAATAATTTCTTGCGTAACAAAGAAAATACTCCGAGTTGAACTCTTTCGTTCACGTGATCGAATGAGACGAGTAAAAAAAAGCCCCTAGAGGGCTTTTCTGCTATTCTCTTTTGTCTAGTCCTCCACGATCAGAACGCGGCGGGCAAAAAACAATCCCTCGTATTCTCTTAATCTCTTTCTGTTGGTCGTCCAAGCCGTAGGAATGAAGAGAGAGAAAACGAGTATACCATAGGAGAGGAAGGGAGCCATCCCTTTCCGTTCGCCCATGGCCTCAAGAAGGAAGTAAGAAAACAAGTTTCTCGCGCGAATTCTTATTTCTTTTTATTTAGTTTGCACAGAATTAACTGTTTATAGTTCGCGTCCACAGTGTATTTTTCCGTGAAACACAATTTGTGGGAAAGAATATATCTCTTATCATTGAAATATATTGTAAAAGTAAGATTACAATACGGGAATAATTCGTGTTAACGGAACGTCGGAACATTCGATGTTTTCTGTCTAAGCACCTTAGCTAAAGATCGAGTCAAAGGAACTGGTTAAGCTGACATGCGTGGGTGTGCGATATGAATGAGTATATATGACAGGTGATGCGTGTTATTGATATAAATGTTCAAGAAAAGCGCAGTGTATTTAAATCCGTACACAATGTCGTACGACAGTTCAATATACTCGCATCTAACGTTTCTTCACTATTTCTATTTGGATTTGCATAAAAATTTACCGAGACGTAAGAGAATTCCATAAAATTATCATCTCTATGCTGGAAACGTGTAAATAGCTTTATTAACATATTTAAAATGTATATTTAAATAAATAAACATATATAATGCAATATAATAAATATATACAGAATAAATAAAAATAAAATATATTTAAAAATATACAATAAGTTGTGGATACGCTGAAAAAAAATTTCCTATTTTAAATAAATATTTATTTGAATGCCAACTAAATATTTAATTACGGTAAATAAATATTTACTTAATAAAAAGAAATAATTGTCGAATGAAATTAATGTTTTTTGTACCAAATAAATATATCTTTATAGATTTAATAAATATTTAGTTGGCACTATTCAAATAAATGTTTATTTAAATTTAGGATATTTTTTCTCAGTGTAAAAATTAAGAAAAAAAAAGAGATAGATCGCTTGTGGCAAATTCCTTTGTCTGACATTATTAAATATTCAGCGGGACTTAATTTTTTAATTCCGAACAAAATGTAAAGTGATTATTTCGTCATGAATGAACAGAGCAAGACGTGAATCGATAA